ACAAATTTTAAATTAAGAAAAAGGAGGACTCCATCTTTTTGATTGGCTCTAGGGGTCTGTATATTTATGATAATATCTTGATTTATGGATACCCACGAAGAATTACACACACTCAGGTACCCACATACAATGACACGTAGACATATAGATATATATATATATATATATATATATATATATATATATATATATATATATATATATATATATATGGTGAAATGAAAGTCATATCAATGTCAAATACCATTATTGTATATTGTCATTCTTGCTTCCCTATCTCTATCTTTCAACATATTGTAAATAATTGTATGATAGGTCATTAGGTGCTTAATTCAAGGCATTAAAGTCTTCTCTTGAGCTCATGCATACCATCTTTATTATCTCCAAATCCATCAAAACAATCTTTATTGTCTAATCTAGAGACAATATCATCTATATGGTGTATGTACCAATACCAGAAACAACTTATTGTTCACAACTTTGAGTTCAAGAGGGTATAAATCAGCACCACACTGTCGATCAATTCATTAGTGCTGAATTCATCCAGTCCTTCTTCGCTTGCATGTGAGTCTTGGGTGGAAGCTTCAACCTGGATCAAATTACTGAGCAAAGCACAATTGTTTCACGGACATAGTTAATGACAAACCAAACAATCAAAAGAATGCTCCAAACCTCTGGCCTGGGCTTGCACCAGTGCTGCTTCTGTTGCTACCGCAACTGGTAAATTTTGTCACCAGCATGTTGCCCAAGAACCTCTCCATCACACCGCTGGGCATGCAGAGCGCCACCTTTCGCTCGCGCCCTCCTTTAGCAGTGGGCAGGACGAAAGCAGTGCCGTCTCCAAACCATACCTCGGGGACAAGCGTGTAGTGAACCTGTTGCCCCCAACCAAAATCGGTCTTGAAGATGGGAAACGTGTGCATGGTGGTGCAGTTCACATCTCTGCCGGCATAGTAGTCCACGTTAAACGCAAACTCAAGGCCTTTCCGGCGCTGGATTTCCATCCAGTCGACAGCTGATTGGATGTATTCGCCACTGATCTTGGCAATGTCGTTGTGGATGAGCTTTGCGGCGAACGAGATGTGGTGGGACTTGATATCGCCGGCCCTGGCCGGGAGGGTCGCCAAGTGGATGGCATTTCCAAAGTAGCTCATCGGGACCGGAGGGTCCTTAAATCGCTTGTTGCCCCTGCAAGACACCGGGTACATGTACCGCGTGGTGGCATCGTTGGGCAGCTCGCGAGCCTCGGTGATGGACTTCCAGATGAGAGCCGAGAGAGCCACGAAGCTGCTGGCCCGGCCGAAGCCAAACGGGCCAGCCTCGACCTCGTGGACGAGCGCGTCCATGCCCGATGAGCTGACGGTGATGATCTTCTTGCGATAAGTGGAAGCCGCGTCGACGATCTGGTAGCCGAGCTTCTCGGCGGCGACATAGTCCCGCATTGGAACGGTCACCCTTGGTGGGTTGCGGGCTTGGAACAGCTCGGCATGGAACAGCGGTGGGGTGATTGGCAATCCCCGGTGTATCCGCGACCAGGCATGGAAGAATTCGGACACGGAGTAGCCGTCTGCTACAGTCTCACACAACGCACCGCCTAGAGCAATGCCACCACAGCCAAAACGTGTAATCTACATATAAACATCGATCAGAGTAGTTCTTCCTATACTTCACACCTGGATTTGCAGCGTGGGCGAGTTGGCGCAAAACCTGTCCTGGGTGTTGAGTTGCTGCTCGATGGAGCAATCGTCCAAGCTCTGCCAGTCATCAAACCTGGCATCGGTGGAGGCCACCCGGAGCGGAATGCCCGCGTCGTTGCAGTTGACTTTGGGGGAGCCATCGGTACCAGCTTGAACTCTCCCTGCAAACACAAAGTAGTGAGTGAGGGTGAGCGCTAGGGAGCGCTTGAGCTTGGCAACGGTGGCTTCAAATGGTTGTGGAGCTTGTGGTGGCATGTAGTAGTGCACGAAACTGGAATAGAACGAGGAGCTTGCTAGGAGATCGACGTTCGAAAGGGATTTCCAGCAGGGCTGTGGAGTTGGAGTTGCGGGTGTGACATTGTGAATGCGGATTAGGGAAACGGAGGCCATTGCAGCTCATGGGAAAAACTTGGTCTCGCTTGGAGATTAATAGCATTGAACTTCCCACGAGATGCATGCCGCCGTTGGTTACTGTAGTGCATTCACGTAATTCAGGTTTTTAGACTCGCTCAATTTCACATTGCCAACGTTACTGGTTTGTAATCCAGGTTGGAGAGTCAATCTGTGAATGGAAGCAAGGATCAGAAGGTGAATTGAAGCAACAAGTTGACTGGTCAATTTAACTGTTAAGGATACCGAGGAGATCCTCGCGCCATCGCCGGATCACACGAGTTCTAGCAGCAGTACTAGCACTTCCATGGCGGAATCTTCTTCGTGTAGCACAAGCACCACCGCGGCCAATTCTTCTTCTTCCTTGGAAGAGGAGCATCGCGTCTAACGAGATCATTCCACAAAATTTTAAAGAGAAATATTCTTGTTTGGAATTCGTTTCCCGAAAAAAAAAGTGGCCTTTTTTTTAATAGCTTTGATGTTTTAGTGCTGTGAGCCAAAGAATCTTGTTAGAGTCAATCGCAAAATCAAATCGCCCATCCGCACACTATCTTCTGTCGAAAATTCTGTGAATATACCTTTTCGTATATGTTGCGTGTACACTTTTCCCTTCGTCGATTAGATTGTATTGTGAAATGGTTAAATTTTGAGATATAAACATACATTACAGCATAACTTTTGTGAACATTCTAGCCATACAATTGAAAGGGTCTGAGATATGTTATCGCATAATTGACTCCTTTAGCCACTTATAGTCAATCAAAATAATTCTTTATATTTATTTTGCAGCCACATGTATTGAGTGGTTTGTTTGTTTCAATAGCGCGTAATGACATGTGGCCTCCCGTTAAACACCATCCTGATTCATTCTCTCTCCGCTTACCTGGCGATGACGTCAGGTCATCGCCAGGTAAGCGGAGAGAGAATGAATCAGGATGGTGTTTAACGGGAGGCGATACTGGAGACAATTTTATTCCCGCCGCTAGATTATAGACTATCCAATGGCTACAGATACTCTTTAAAAGCATCGCACATATTTGTGACTGATCCAGTCCAGATCCTTTTCTCTTTTTTCTCTCGTTGCTTTTGCCTTTGGATGAATCGGTCGATGATCAATTCCGCTGCGATGGTTGTTGCGAGTGTCTGATCGCCGCCTGCAGAAGCTCTGATCTCGCAGTACCAAATTCGCTCCGGAGTCGTCGTTTCCTTTCCTCGTAGCATTCATTCTCCAACGTCCCAAAAAGGCGGCATTCCCTTGGACGTTTTGCAAGGGCTCTCTCTCTTTTCCACTCCGATCATCATGAAGCTCATCGCAAAGAGCTCGTCGAGTCTCTCCATCTCCAGCTCCAAGGATCGGGTCTCCCCAGGCAAGGAAAAGCAGCAGAAGAGCAACAACAGGAAATCCAAGCAGCCCAGGACGAGGGCGATCGAGTTCTGCATCATCTCCGCGCAGGATCTCAAGAGCGCCACGAAATTCGGCCGGATGCGCAGCTACGCGGTGGCGTCCATCTATCCCGATCGCAAGGTGAGCACCCGGATCGACTGCGAGGGCGGCACCAATCCCACCTGGGACGCCAAGCTCGTGCTCGAGGTGGACGAGCGCGTGTTGGTGGGCGACGAGGACGACACCCACACGCAGCTCACCATCGACATTTTCAGCCGTGGATCCCTCCGCGACAAGCTGGTGGGGACGGTCAGGATCCTGGTGTGCGACGCCGTGAGGGGGGAGAGGAATATGCGCAGCATCGTGAATAGATTCCCGGTGGCCTCCTATCTCGTCTTCCGGCCCGGGGGGTGCCCGCAGGGGATTCTCAACGTGTGCATCCCCCCCGGCGGGAGATTCCCGGAGAGATTCGACTCCATATCCTTCAAGCGCGGCGAAGATCTTCGCGTCATGGCTTCTTCGCTCAAGCCGGAGGAGATCCTCTCGCCACCGCCGGATCACACGGAGGAGATCCTCGCGCCATCGCCGGATCACACGAGTTCTAGCAGCAGTACTAGCACTTCCATGGCGGAATCTTCTTCGTGTAGCACGAGCACCACCGCGGGCAGTTCTTCTTCTTCCTTGGGAGAGGAGCATCACGTCTAACGAGATCACTCCAGGGAGAAAAAAACAAAATTTATAGAGAAATATTCTTGTTTGGAATGTTCCAATTCGTTTCCCGAAAAAAAAATGGCCATTTTTTTTTATAGCTTTGCATTAACGATGTTTTATTGCTGTGCGCCAAAGAATCTTGTTAGAGTCAATCGCAAAATGAAATCGCCCATCCACCCAGCCGCCACAAAGAATTTATTACTGATTGACCACTATCCGAGAGTTCCTCCTGGAAGATTTGCTACTATCCCTCCTGGAAATGATACTCGTTCTCCCGATTCTTCTTCGGTTTCTTCGGCCTCGAACTTCTTGAAAGAAGGAACCGCCTCCAGCTGAGTGCCGTGAATGCTCTTCACTCTCTTGAAGCTCAAGAAATCCAGGCGTTTCGGAAACACCCCGCCGGGAGCAACGCAGACGTTGAGCATGCCTTGCGAGTCGCCGTCCGGAGTGAAAACCAGGTAGGAGCTGATCGGATACGGCTGGTTGGAAGGCTTGACGGCGTCCACCAGCGAGATTCTCACAGTCCCCACGAGCTTGTCCCGCAGAAACCCCGGGCAGAAGATATCAAACGTGAGCTGCGAGTTGCTATCCTCCTTGAAAGCCGCCTCTTCCACCTCTAAGCTCAGCTTCTCCTGCCATGTCGGCTCCGTTATCCCCTCGAAATCGATCTCTGTCTTCACTTTCTTGTCCGCGGAGACGTAGGCCACGACGAAGCAGTTCATGTCTTTGCGGACTCTTCTGAGCTCCTGAGCTGAGATCACATAGAACTCGAGCAGCCTCATCTGCGGCTGCTTGTTGCGTCGCCTGATCCTTGGCACTGGCTGAGACTCCCCCATCTTGGAGAAACACGCTGTAAGCTTCTTCGCTAGCATGCACCACTTGAGAAGCCGATTGCTTGCCCTCTACTCTGTACTCTTTTGAAGCCCTTCCTCTTGCTCGACACAGCCGCCGCTGTCAGTAGAGCGAACCGAATGAGACGAAGTTATCCTTATGTAGGCCAGCACAGAGACGGGGTCCAAGAGGGATTACAGAGTCGTCAAATTCACCCGCACCTGCGTGTCGAGGATGTAAGCTAATGTAAAACGCAACCAAGTAGCGTTAGACACAAACAATACCTCCACGCGACCGTTCATGGAACTTGCGGTGCAATAGTTTTTAATGATCTCCTCCAATGGCCACTGTTCCATCCCTGCCAGTCAGCAAACGAACGCTTCCCTTCTGGTCTGCGGTGGACACGAGTCAAAGACAGAAGAAAAACGTGTCGCTTACCTGTTTTCACCGCTTGTTTTGTTGTAACGTTCGGCTAATCTCGGGATCCACATCGGCTCCAGCCTCAAGTGCCTCCTCCCAAATCTCCATCGCCTGGTCCATCTTTTCTTCGGCGACAAGCTTTGTCAAGAGTAAGCTGTACATGAATGGCGTCGGAGAGCATCCCCGTGACTTCATCGCCTGGAAAAGCCGGAAGGCTTTGTCATGCTCCGCTGACTTCCAAAATCCATCGAAAACTGAGTTGTAGGTGACCGTGTCTGGCAGGCATCCGTCACTTTCCATGACTTCTAGCAAATGTATTGCTTCGTCCAGCCTGCTAACCTTGCAGAGCTTGTCGACGAGCACATTATACGTAACCACCGTAGGAGCGCAGCCTGTTTGCTTCATTAACTTGTAGAGCTCGTAAGCCTCGTCGTAGGAATCGGACTTGCATAGTCCATCGATCACGCTGGTGTAAACTATAGCGTCTGGCGTCACGCCCCTTTCCAGCATGGTCTTCAGCAGCATGCAGCCGTCCCTCACGCGAGCAGACTTGCAGAGCTTGTCTATGACAATGCTGTACGTTATCACCGTGGGCACGCATCCCTTGTCAAGCATTTCCGAGAAGAACGCCAGTGACTTGTCCAGCTGGTCTGCCTTGCAAAAGCCGTGGATGAGGATGGTGTAAGCCACCACATCTGGAGCACTCCCATTTCTTTCCATCTCCCTGAGTAGCTTCTCGGCATCATCCAGTCTTCTCGACTTGCAAAGTCCGTCAATGAGGGTGCTGCACGTTACGACGTCCAAGAAGTAGCCCCCGTTTCTAAGAACCTCGTACACCTCGTATGCCTCGTCGACTTGGGAAGCTTTGCACAAGCCAGAGACGATCGAGTTGTAAGTCACCACGTCGGGAGGACAGCCTGCTTCGGTCATGCGCTCTAGAAGCTGCCGAGCGTCGTCAATCCTGTTTGCCCTGCAGGCCCCGGAGATCATAATGTTGTACGTGTATATATCCGGGAGACAGCCACGATCGGTCATGAGCTGGAAGAGCTCGTATGCGAGGTCGAGTTGGCCGACTTTGCAGAACATATCGATCATCAAGTTGAAAGTGAAGTGGCTCGGTTTACAGTCCCTCCGAAGCATCATCTGTGCCAGGTTGAAAGCGTCAATATACTTCCCAGACTTGACAAGGCTGTCCATGAGTGTGTTGTAAGTAATGAAGTTTGGCTCGCAGCCATACTTGACCATCTCTTGCAAGAGCTTGGCACCGTCTTGCGGTCTCTCTTGCTTGCAATACCCGTCGATGAGAATGTTGTACGTAAAAACGTCCGGCGAGCACGAGTTCTCCAGCATCTGGTTGAAGAGCACGACCGCCTCGTCCATGTTGCCGAGCTTGCAAAACCCGTTGATGAGCGTGTTGTAAGTTACGACGTTGGGAGCACAGCCAGCCTCGATCATATCCTCGAGAATGAGCGAGGCATCGCTTATCCTGGCAGACTTACACAAGGCGTCGACGAGAATGGTGTAAGTGATGACGGAGGGAGCGCAGTTGCGTTGCATATCCCTGTAGTGGACGAGCGCACTGTCGACCCTTCCATTGTCACAGAGTCCCTTGATGATCGTGTTATAGACCGCATTGTGTGGAACGATCCCTCTCTTCTCCATCTCATCCAAAAGCCTGTAAGCCTGCTGGAAATCCCGGGCCTTGCAAAACCCATTGATCAAGGTGCTATACGTGATGCTGTCCGGAGAACACAATCCACAACGGTGATTCTTGAAGAGGTCATAAGCCTCCTGTGCCTTCTTCTTCCTCACGAACGCGCTGAGGAGGCAATTGCAAGTGAATTTCGAGTGCTTGTAGCCTGGCTGCCCCGTGCACCAATCGAAAAACTTGACCGCCTTGTCCAGATCGTCCAGCTGCTGGAGCACCCTTCCCACCACCGATGGCACCAGGTAGCCCCCGAATTCACACAGCCGCCTGCTCGCGAGCTCGAAATCCTCGCTGCTGTCTAAAACCCTAAGGAATTCCTTGGCGGCCTGGGCGTAGAAGATGCCAGACTTGGAGCTGGCACTGGCAGCCGCGAATTTCGAGGTGTGGAGCTTGAGATCGGGCTCCACTTCCCTGGTAGAGTGCCGCGGACTTACCCCGAGAGAGGATGCAAGGCAGAATTTGGGCGGTGGCCTTCCTTTGCTGGTGGATGGAGCGGTGACACCAGCCGGAGCGCCCAGCGCTGTCGCCATAGCGCAGCAGCTCCTCCAAGAACCCTAGCTTTTGAGTGGTAAGAATAAATTTGAATTTCTGGATATACTTTTTTTCGCTCGCTTGGCTCCTCTATTTTCTTTTCTGGGAGAAGAAAACTACGTGTCTCCGGAGCCAAGATAAACTCCCAAGTAGATGAAATGGTCCTCGATACTATTGCCAGACACGGACCTGTGAAGATAGAACAATGAATTGGATCGAGCGTTAGAAAATCAAAGAGAAGTTTTTGCCTGCTACAAGTTGGATCTTCGCCAGAGCTGTCACAAACTCGCTCATACTCGAAGGTGAGAATTCCTATCGACAGAGTTGTGATCCACACCTGAGAAAACGAGCACCCAGCAGAAGATCCACGAAGCTTTTGGGAAGAACTTGGGAAGTACCTCTCTTGCGAAGTGATGGTAGCTTCGAGCTCCGAGGAAGGAGAGATATGGAGGGAGGTGCGGAACCATATCGTGACCGTGAGTCATTCGTATCGCTCTTGGCAAGTGCTTGCTGAAAAACTTTGCGAAGACAGTGTTGCCGAGGCGTGGCTGTCCAAACGTGACTATCTCTACATCGTCTGTGGAAACTTTGTAATTTACCTGCGTTCTTGGTGAGATCTCTCTAGAAAAAAATGATAGAGACGAGGGACTCACAATGAGATCGAGTGCGCAAAACGAGGCAAGAGCTCCTCCCATGGAGTGGCCCGTCACCATGTACTTCAGCCCGTGCCGCGTTTGCTCTATGTAACTTATAGCTGCCATTATGCTTGCTCGCATACTGGTGTTGTGATAAGCCGAGTAGAAACCATGGTGGACCTTCACAAAGGATTTTCCAGGAGTCAGAGATTCAAACATCCAAGTATATCAAACCTTGGCATCCTTAGTTCCGGGATAGTTTAAATCGAGCTCCTTGAAATACAAATCCTCCATCCAGTTTGCCATGCTACACAACTAGACATTTATTATACGAAAAAGACAGAGAAGATTTTACCTGTTTTCTTGAGTTCCTCGGAAGGCAATCACAATAGCATGTAGACTCTCGGATACACCAACAAATGCCTGAAGAAAAAAGAAAAGAAAAATCTAGAGATGTTTTTAAAACTCTATCTTACTTGCCTGTAGACAATGTCGAACATCCACGACAAGAGCTGTGACATGAAAATCCTGGAGATCCGATCAATCGACTGGAAAGACTGTAGAAGCGATAGACTTACCTTTATCACACCGTTGCAACGTGAGCAATTCCACTTCAGCAAGGAGGCTGAATCATCTAGATACACCTTAGAGGAAAGAAGACGAGAAAAAAAAAAGTTAAAAAAGCACTCGAGAAGGATTTCAATCCAAGTGCCTACCGCTGATGCATAGCGGACCATGATCTTTGCGAGCGTCCGATTGTAGTACCGAAAACTCAAGTTATCTCCAACGACAAACTCTGCGAGAAGTAGTTTTTTCGAAAGTCACAAAAAAAACTAAAGGTTCTTACCTCGTCCAACAGCAGCGGTGAGGCACGAAAGCAATAGAACCACGGCTAGTTTCATCACACCTTTCTCTCAATCCATCTTCACCCAATGCAATCCGGAACTAAAGAAGAAACCAAAGAAGAATGCAACGAAACTCATCCATTTCTTCTTACTTGGCAAGGAGCAAGCATTTGTCTCAAGACAAATGTTGCCAGTTTGGCACCCGAGCGCCACGCCAAAGCGATGATCCCCCTGCGCAAGACGTGATCCCGGGCATTGCGCAGGATACCTAGAACTCACTGCGATCACTGCGAGCTCTCACGGACCTCGCCGCCGCGGGATCAGAGCCACCCAATCCGCTACCAAACAGCCAACAAAATCCCTAGTTCTTTATAGGAAAAAAGTTAAAAGTAGATTTGCTTAGTAAGATTCAACGACTAATGGGCATTTGGTCTACTGGTATGATTCTCGCTTCGGGTGCGAGAGGTCGCGAGTTCGATTCTCGCAATGCCCCCCCTGCTTGTCAGCTCGACAAGTAGCATCCACGCGGAAGCACGAGCTCTCTGTAATCAATTCTTTGAGAACATCTGGATCGAATCTTTGTTTGCTTGCTGCAATTGTGGTTTTGTTTCCTTCCCTGCTCCGAATCTCTGTTTGATCGTGCTCGCTGAGATGAGTCTCCGGCTCCTACTGCTCGATTCACCAGCGCCGCGACTGTCCAGCTCAAAGCCTCCGCCTCAAAAACCGCGATCAAGGTCAGTAGTTCTTCGATCGATTCGTCCCCGGGCCTCTTCGTCCGCGTCATCGGCCGCAGGGGACTTCGATTCCAACGATGCGAGTCCCAAAGAAGCTAAAGACGCAGGCTACAAGTCTCTGCTGGTGGCCATGGGCGTTCCTCTAGCCGCGGGATCGCTGGTGGCAGCATTCAACAGGCCGGATGAGTGGTACTTCCAGCTCAAGAAACCGTCGTGGACGCCTCCAGCCCCAGTGATTGGATTTGCGTGGAGCCTCCTCTATCCTCTCATGGGCGCCGCGGCCTGGCTAGTGTGGAGGAACGGGGGATTCGAAGAACAGCGATCGGCGCTCACGATCTTTGGCGTTCAGCTGGGGTTCAATCTCCTGTGGCAAGTCGCATTCTTTGGGCTGCGCAACCCGGCGCTTGCGTTCCTGGACATATCCATCTTGGTTCTGCTCGTGGGCATTTGCGTTTGGGCATTTGGGAAATCCAGTGCCGCAGCTGCAAACGCGATGAAGGTGTATCTCCTGTGGGTGATCTTTGCTGCTGCTCTCAACTACAAAATCTGTGCGCTCAATCCATAAAAGATCACATCTCTCCCTCTCTCTCTCTCTCAATCAAGATCATATTTGCCTCGAGTAACTTGGGTGATCTTGAAAGATCACATCCCCTTCTCTCATCCAAAACTAGAAAAATGAATCAAGATCACATTTGCCTCAGTATTGGAACACTGGAGTAACTTGGGTGATCTTGAAAAAACTTAAAGCTCTCTTGGCCAAGACTAGAAAGAACAAAGATCACAGTTGCCACTGGAGATCTTGAAAGACAAGGAGGCAACCAGATTTGAACTGGTGACCCAATGGACTGCAGCCAATTGCTCTACCAGTGAGCTATACCTCCATCTCAACCAAACAACTAGCATAGATCTTGCAGGAACTTTTCTGCGTGAAAACAAAAGTGGACTAGGCATGTATTTCTCTTTGGATTCAATGACCCACATTGTCTCTTTTCGTCAAACAAGATCATGAGCGCCTGTGGAAAACAAACAAACCAGCATTCATTCATGAGCACATGCCTAGTGTGAGCGAGCTGGTAGCAGTCAACCAAAGCGCGTCCATACTTCTCATATAGGGTTTATGGATCCTCTGGCTTGACGAAGAAGACGATCATGGAGAACACAAGCACGGTGAGAGGCTTACTGCTAGTGCTCTTAGTATGGAAATGCTCGACAGTGGCACGGAGCCAAGCGACTCAGCCATGGCCTTCGTACAGATCGAGCTATAGCCGAATCCACGATGCCCAGAAGCAATGTCCATTCTCTTCGTCCTTGGTCTCCTCGCAGCAGCAGGGCGGGGACGATGATCAGGGCCCGGATCCCAAATGGGTCATCCAGAACGAGCTCAGCTTCCAGAATGGCGACTGGTTCCAGGAACCCAAGGCCAGATCCTCGCCGGTGCCTCGCTTCACTGTCAATGGGACTCGCCCGCAGCTGCTTTCTTCGTTCTGGATCACGGATGTCAATCTCCGGAGCAAGGCGGGCGCGGTCAAGATCAGCGCCGTTTTGCAGCTCGCCATCTCGGCCTTCCGCAGCATCGGCTACTTCACGACCGCGTCCGAGAGCTCCGAGTCGTCACCGGAGTTTGCATCGCTCACAGTGCTCCTCGAGGGTGTTTACTTTGAGACCCAGCGCAACGATCGGGGTGTTTGCATGGTGGGATGCACGGTTTTCAACGGGACAAGGATCTGCGATCTCTTCCTGGAGCTCCACTTTCCCCGGAGGCTTTCGCTCGAATCCAGGGAAGTCCGCGGCTCCTTGACAAGCAAATCTGGGATCTTTGACGACGTATCCATCGCATCGCAGCTCGGAGCGTACTCCAAGTACGAGTTCGACGACGGGAGACTCGTCAAGCCCGCGTGTAATCCTTCCATGCAGCAGATGCCGTCGGAGGGCATTACAGTCTACACTGGAAATCGAGGCTGCTCGATACTGATGGAAATCCTTACTGGTCAGTGGATCCATCTCTCAAGCTCGGGGCCGTTTGCTCTCAACGCTACGAGGATGCAAGTGTTGGACATCCGCTGCATCGATATCCCGTCTGGAGCGAATGTGAGCGCCATCTTTCGAGCAACTCCCAGCGTTGACGACGAGAGCCTCTCGCTGGAACGCAAAGGACTGAGTGATGGGCTGGCCTTTGCTGCCGAGGGAGTCTACAGTTCTTTCACTGGCGAGATCTGCATGCTCGGCTGCCGGAACAAAGATCTAAGCTCGTCATCGCCAAGCTGCGACGTCCGCGTGTCGATGTTCGTGCCACTCTCGCTCTCCATCGCGCAGAGGGACGTCTTGTTTGGGAAGATGACGAGCTTGGGTGGCGAAAGTGCGTATCGTCCTACGAACTTTGGTCTCTTCGTACCCTTGAGAGGCCTGCCATCGGAAGTGTCAAAGAAGTTGAGCTACAGCTACTCGAGAGCTCGGGAAGGAGAGAAGCTTGCGAGAAGTGAGGAGATGGAGACGAGCCTGGCCGATCGAGTGAAGCAATCGATGCTCAAGTTCCCAAGGCCGAGCAAGGATCACTCGATGCAGGAGCTGGGGCAGGATTTGGCGGTGTTTTCTCAGCTCATCAACGAGAATCCAGCCAATCCAAGCGGCAGCATCCAGTTTTCAACAAGAACTATGGACATCCAAGCTTCATCAAAAACTATAGATATCCAAGTTCTCTCGATCGAAGACATCATTCTCATGGACTGGAACAGCCATCAGAGCGATGACTCCTCGCAAGAACTTGGCGATGACGAGAAAGATCTATCCAAAGGTGACGAGGAAACGATCCGAGTTGCGGTGGAGGTGATAGTGACGAACGTCGCTCAGGTATCCGCCGAGGGTGTCTACGTTCCTCGCACGGGACGGATCCATCTTGTTGGCTGCCTCAATAACATCTCTGGAAGTGATGTTCTTATGGACTCCCAGCCCGATTGCAACACGACCATCGTGATCCAGTACCCTCCTCGCAACACGCAGTGGCTCGTCAATCCCACGCTGCGCATGAAGATTGCCAGTTCTCGCGCGAGCTCCGACCCGAGCTTTTTCCCTCCGATGCATCTCGAGTCGTTTCCAATCCTCTACAGGGACCAGCTCCGCGAGATTCTCTCCAGGAAGACGCTGGAGGCCGTGCTAAGCGCAATCACCTTGAGCGTCATGCTCATTTGCATCGTCCTCCAGCTGATTCACGTCAAGAAATCCGCCGAGTCGGTGCCTTTCATCTCGCTACTGATGCTCGGCGTCCAGGCATTCGGCTACTCGATCCCGCTCATCACAGGAGCCGAGGCACTGTTCGCCAGGCTCACCTCCCGTGACGATCCGGCCGCCGAGGCCGGACAATCCTCCGCGATCAAAGACACTGGGATCAACCAGATGGTGCTCTACTTGGTCAAGCTCCTCTCTCTCGCCGCCTTCCTTCTCATGCTCCGGCTGTGCCAAAAGGTGGTGCGCTACCGCATCCGGCTCGCCACCAAGTTCCCGCTCGAGCCACGCCGTGTTCCCAGCGACGTGAAACCGGCCAAGATCTTCCTGCTCGTCCACACTCTCGGCTTCCTCACGGTGCTCGCCTTCCACTACGCTCTCCAGGGCTCCTCGAGGAGCAGCGAGATGATGCGCAAGGATTCCCAGGTAGGATGGGACGGCAAGATCCAGAAGCCAGAGCAGGATTGGATGCGGGAGCTCAAGGAGTACGGGGGGCTTGTGGAGGATTTGTTCTTGCTCCCGCAAGTGATTGCAACCTCGGTGTGGGAGATCAGAGGGAAGCCACTGGCACGAGCTTACTACATGGGCATGACGGCGTTGCGATTGCTCCCCCATGTCTACAACGCTCTGACGAGGCCGCTCTTCAATCCATACTTTGCGGACGAGTCGCTGGTTTACGCAAACCCGAGGATGGATTTCTACTCGCGGGTCGGGGATGTGGTCATCCCCGTCATGGCGGTGCTGCTCGCGGCGATGGTGTACGCTCAGCAGAGATGGAATGAGCTCAAGTGGGGCAGAGTTTTGAGGCAAGGATCAAGCAAGCTCTTGCGGTATGGATCCAAGTTGTATGAGAGGCTACCGTCGTCAAAGCTGCCCAGCACTGGGGCGAATTTCGAGGCCGAGATGATGCCAGGCAATGGCAACGTGGACGGGGACGAAGATCGACGAACCCTAATGGACGCTGAGAAAGGTGGCAACCATTAAAGGTTGACCAAGGTTATACCTTTAATATTTTGGCAGCTTTAAAAATGTTCCGCTTGCATGCTGAAAGCTAAAATTAACTTAGTCTGTGCTACTCCAGACAATGGTAAGGTGCTGTTTAGTGCTAATGCTCGTCTTGTGGATTTGCTCAATGGGAAACAGCCAAGAAGAGCGCTATAAATCGAGCTACGATGAAGCCCAAATGAGGTGCCCATTCTCCTCGTCATTCTCCGGAGATGAAGATGGATCAGATCTGAAGAAGGACGAGCTCAGCGTCCAAATGGGCGACTGGTTCCAGGAGCCCAATGCGAAATCCTTGCTGCTTCCTGGTTTGACTGCGAATACAACTCGCCCCGTGCAGCTCGCCTCCTTCTGGATCACGCACGTCAGTCTCCGGAGCAAGACAGACATTGTCAAGATCAGCGCGGTTTTGCAGCTCGCGATCTCTGTCGAAAGGATCATCGGCTACTTCACGAGTGCATCCGAGAGCTTCGAATCGTCCCCGGATTTCTCATCACTGATGGTGCTCCTGGAAGGGATCTACTTTGAGACACAGCAGAACGACCGCGGTGTTTGCATGGTCGGATGTACGGTTCTCATCAACGGGGCAAGGATCTGCGATCTCTACCTGGAGCTCCATTTCCCTCGGAGGTTTTCGCTCAAATCTAGGGAAGTCAACGGCTTTCTGACCAGCAAATCTGGGGCGTTTGACACTGTAGTGCTTGCGCTTCAGCTCGGAGGGGACACCAAGTACGAGTTTGACAATGGAAATCTCGTCAAGCCGGCATGCGATGCATCCATGGCCATGCAGCAGATGCCCCCACAGGGCATCCGGGTTTACAGAAAATCAGGTTGCGTGGAACTGGTGGGCATCTTCCAATATGAGTGGAGCCAGCTCTCAAGCTCAGGGCCGTTTTCCCTCGATGCCACTGCCATGCAAATCATGGACATGCGCTGCATAGACACCCCGTCGGGAGCAAATGTGAGCGCCACCTTTCGAGCAGTTTCAGTGAGACTTGACAACCCCGATCTCTCCCGAGCTCGGACGGGACTGAGGAATGCATTCGTCTTTGTTGCTGAAGGAGTGTACAAATCTTCTACTGGCGAGATTTGCATGCTTGGCTGCCGGAACAGAGAACCTAGCTCTCCATCACTCAGCTGCGATGTCCGAGTGTCGATTTTCGTGGCACTCTCTCTCCATCAGCCAGAGATACATCTTCTTTGGAAAACTGACGAGCTTTGGTGGGGGTAATTTGTTTCGCCCCACAAAGTTTGTTCGCGTCGCACAGTTGGGCAGGCTGCCATCAGAGATTCCCAAGTTGATGAGCTATACGTATTCGAGAGCTCGAGAAGGAGAGGAGATGGCGAGATTGGAGATAAGTCTGTTGGATCAGGTGAAGCAGTCGATGCTCAAGTTCCTAAAGCCGAGCAAAACGTACTCAATCCAACAGCTGGGACAGGACTTGTCCTTCTCTTCACTGATCATCCAGAAGAACAGCAGCAGAAGCAGTATCCAAGCTTCTCCAAAGTTTTTGGACATCCAGGTTCTTGCCATTGAAGACGATCTCATCTATTATTCTGGCGAAGTCTCCAGCAAAGAGTTTGATCTTCGAGACGCAAGAACTCTGCGAGTTGCTGTGGAGCTCACACTGACCAATGTTGCTCAGGCATCAGCCGAAGGAGTTTACGTTCCTGGCACGGGACGAATCTATCTCGTTGGCTGCCTCAAGAGAAAAACTCTCGCAAACTGTGTGATCGATATCGATTCCCAGCCTGACTGTAGCGTGAGCGTCGTGATCCAGTACCCTCCTTACAACACGCAGTGGCTCGTCAGTCCGACTGTCCGCGCCAAGATCACCAGCACTCGCCCGAGTTCCGACCCGAGCTTCTTTACTCCAATCCATGCTGAGACGTTTCCAATGCCCTACATATACCAATACCGGCAACTGAAGCTCCCATCGGTTCTGTCCAAGAAGACGCTTGAAGCCGTCTTGAGCGCCATTACCCTCAGCCTGATGCTGCTTTGCATCATCTTGCAGCTGATCCACGTCAGGAAATCTGGATCCGCCGGGGCCGTGCCTTTCATCTCGCTGGTGATGCTCGGCGTCCAGGCGTTTGGATACTCGATCCCGCTCATCACCGAGAGGTGAGGCCTTGTTTGTAAGACACACTAGCCGTAAACCGCGATTCTCGACGATCAACGAGCAAGCCACGGAGGTTACCCAGAAGGTACTCTACCTCGTCAAGTTCCTCTCGCTCGCGGCGTTCCTTCTCGTGCTCTGGCTGTTCTTCAAGGTGGTGCGCTACCGCACCCGACTCGCCAAGTTCCCACGCGATCGCAATCGACGCCGCGTTCCCAGCGACGTGAGAACCGCCAAGATCTTTGTGCTCGTCCATTCTCCCGGCCTTCTCACGGTCCTCGCCTTCCAGAGCTTGTCCAGTGAGATGCTGGTGGCATTGGACGGGACACTCTACAAACCCAAGATGAAGTGGATCCGGGAGCTCAAAGAGTATGCCGGGTTCGTGGGGGATTTGTTCCTGCTGCCACAAGTGATCGAAGTTTCCGGGTGGGATCAGATCAAGGGGAACCCACTGGCACGAGCTTACTACATGGGAATGACGGCGTTGCGCTTGCTTCCTCACGTCTACAACGCGATCACTATTCCACTGCCCGATGCATATGAGTTTCTGGTGTTTACAAAGCCGAGGACTGGGGACTGGCTAATTTCTGCGATGGCTTTGCTCCTGGCGGCGACGGTCTATGCACAGCAGCAGTGGTCGGGGAATGGATCTTACGAGACGCTGCTATCGACAGAGAAATTTGAGGCTGAGCATTGCTCTAGAAGATGGAAGATCGAGTCAACAGTAACCAAATTTTAATAAAGGCATTAAAGATCAGTCAAAGCTAATCAAATAGTCAACACAATATAATTAAGATAGCAAAATTTAATATATGGCTTCGTCCAGGTTCGAACTGGAGACCTTCAGTGTGTTAGACTGACGTGATGACCAACTACACCACGAAACCACTTGTGGTATGAACTTGCTAATTGTTTCTACATATTGGATAGAGAAGAACTGTGGATAAAGATCTTGGAGGTGGAAGACGCGCCACGATCCTCTGTTCTAGGGTTTAGGGCGAGGGAGGAATGCCATGGCGCTGACAGCTCTTGCCTCGGCGCATCTCCTGTCGGTAAGCGAGAAATGCGAGAGGAAATGCGCGTGAGAGCTTGTGGTGTCCATCCAGATTGGCTCGACTTCGCGCTCGGGACTGCTCCGGAGGGACGGCATTGACGATTCTTTCGATGGACATTGCGCGCTTTCCCAGACGGGGATCAGAAGAGCGAGGTTCTTTTCAGTATCTGTTCGTATTTCGATGCTCTCATAGCCGATTGCATTGGATTCCAGGCAGAGCTTTGGAGAGGCCGATAGAAAGCCAAGGGATGTGAGAATTCGAGCTCAAGCATTGTCGGATGCAGCACAAAAATCGGAATATGTGAGTAGTAGAAGATTTCCTCCTTGCTCGATCTTATATTTCTTCCTTCCAGCGTAATATCGCGCAAATCAATGAAGCTATTAGGAAGGCTGAATCGGTGCCAGCAGCGCTTAAGATCCTGGAAGAAACCAAGGCCGCCGGAGTGCACACTCCAAATGAAGGTACACACTTTTATTGTCCGAGCTGAAGATTAATTTTTTTTTCCGGGTGGCAGCAACATATGCATCGCTCATGCTAGCTTGTAGAAAGCTTGGCCAAGGAGAACGCGCACTTACCATCTACGAGGTACTTACTGTTCCTCGTGACTCACAAATATGAAGAAAATTATTTCAGGCCATGAAGCAGACCAAGGAACCAATAAGTATTCGAACTTACAACACTCTGATCTCTTGCTGCCAACAAGCTCTTCGTATGGATGATGCGTTCCGGGTGAAGGTAGATATCCGTTGGTTGTAGTTCATGCGTAAAGTATTGATCTGATATTTCAGAAAGAGCTCGAAGAAGCGGGAGTGAAACCAGATGTGGTGACGTACACTAGCCTTATTGACACTGTCATAAGGTCCACCCGCATTCCCCCAGCTCAAAGGTAGTCTTCTATACTTCTGGCGCTGGCAGATTTTGTGACAAAAGCATTGTAGAAACTTGCAGGCTCGAGAAAGCTTTACAGCTATACAAGGAAATGCAAACTCTTTCCATAACGCCTGACAGCAAAACCTACAATACCCTTATACAAGCTGCTGGCGAGGCAAAGGCGACAGAAAAAGCACTTGTAAGATATTTGCGGTTGATTTTTTGGTTTGAGCGCTTGCGTATTTCTGTGTGCAGGAATTGTATCAGTCGCTTACGAAGGTTGGTCTTTCGGCCAATTCGTTCACATTCGATCTTCTGTTGAAGTGCCTCGGAAGTGGTGGAAGGCTCAAGGTAGCTTTACAAGTTTACAACGAAGCCCGAGCAGCAGGAATTACACTTTATACGAGCACCTACAACTTTTTGATTGGAGCCTGCGCAACAGCTCCGCAGCCTAATGTAGGCCTTTTGCTGCGAGAGAACTTTAACGCTGGTTAACAAACTGCTTGCGCAGGCTGAGAGAGCATGGGCCTTCTACGAGGAAATGAAGAGCAAGAATCTGAAGGTCAATGCATTAACATTTATCAACCTTATCAGCGCTTCTAGCAAGGTAATTCCTATGGGAGCTTTGTTTTTTTGTTGTATGATTATACGATTTTGTGCAGGCTGCGGACAATGCAGGCGTCATGAAAGCTTTTCAGTTGATGAAAGAGCTTGATTATACAAAATCTATCACAACTACAACATACAATCAAATTCTCGAGTCTGCAAGTATAGCGAACACCTTGGAAGACGCTCTAAAGATCTACTACGAGATGAAGAAAGCTGGGTACAAGCCAAATGTTTCTACCTACAGCAGTTTAATTTCGGCTTGCATTCGCAACAAAGACTTCAAGCAAGCTCAAACGTTGGAAGAAGAGGAGTTTAAGAACGTCGACGT